GGGGCCCCCCACCTCTGCCTCTACCTCCCCCCTGCTGCTGCTGTGAGTCGCTCAGGTCTTGCTAGCACAGGTCTGTGCTCCAGAGCTGGGAGCCGCACTCCCTGCTGCGCTGCAGACGTAAGGCGCATGTCCTGAGCGCTCAGGGTACGTCTACACTGCACAAAACACTCGCTTTGTGGGCTCTGAAACCCGCTTCCCCCAGTGAATGACCCCTGTCTCAGTCAGCCAGAAGCCTGAGACACTATCACTGAGGGGAGGAGCTGCCGCAGGCATCTCAATGGGGTGTTAACTCTGAAACCTGCCGCCCTTTGGGGGCCCACCCCAGCAGAAGGCTCCGGGTGCATCACTGCCGTCCCAGCAGCGCTCTGCTGGCAGGATGCTGGTGCCTCCCCTACCCCCTTCCCCTCAGCCATGTGATCAGGCAGGCGGGGGCTGGGTTAGCCTGGCTCTGGGACACATCTTAGCCCACCCAGAGCCAGAGGCTGGAGGTCTGGGGGTGGGGAGATCCCAGCCTGCCCAGAGTGGTGCTGGGCCTCCTCCCAGCCCGGCACCTGCTCCTGAGGAGACAGGATGGTCTGTGGGGGAGCGTTTCCTGTGGGCCTGGATCCTGCCCCTGTGCCCAGGTGGGAGGTGCTGGGCTGCAGCTCTGGCAGGAAGCTGGGTGTGAGTGGCTGGGCCACCCCACGGCCCCTGGGTCTGTGCTGCTGGTGTCTTGGCTCCAGGCCATGATACAATGTGCCCGGGGAGCCTGGCCCCAGCTCTTCCGTGCTGCGTTACTGCTGCTCCTCGCCATGTGCTGCTCCCCTGAAACCTACGCCCAGGGCAGACTAAGGGGAGAGGGTGGAGCCTGCTGGGGCTCTTCCAACCCCAGCTGGGCGTGCGGTGGGAGCAAGATTTGGGGTTAACTTTCCCCCCCGGCATGAATGTTCCATGGATAGCGTGACCACGTCTCCTGTTTTTCCCAGGACAGTCCCTTATTTAGGACCTCCTCCTGGCGTCCCGACTTCTTTTAAAAAACGGGCACGTTGTCCTGTATTTCCCCCGCAGCAGGAGGGGTGGGGGAGAGGAGCCCCCATGCTCAGGGCTTCAAGCCACCGAAGCCCCAAGTGCCGGGGGGTTCCCTCCCCTGCGTGCTGCTGGGGTGAACTTCATCCCTGCAGTGGGACAGGGTGGGAGGGGAGCTGCTGGAGCTCTGAGTGCCGGTGAACACGCCCCCCCATAGGGCTGAAGTCCCACATGCCTGCACCCCCGCCCCCTTGGTGCCCGTGTTAGGTATAGGGAAATACGGTCCCCCTATCCATGGAGGCCAGTTTCATAGACCCTCTTGGCCCTGCTGCTTCACGACCCTCTTTCTAGCTCTCCCCTTTACTGAGGGGCAGGGCTGGTGCAGGAAGGGGAACTGAGGGGCTGTGAATGTAGCAGCTCCCTGCCCTAAGTGAGTGTCGCCCCCTGTCTGTAACCGACGGGAAACACCCGGCTCCTGCCTCACACCCGCTCCCTGGCTTCTGCCCTGCAGGTTTGTGATCCAAGGAGGAGGTGATTGCGCCTTCCTGAACGACGAGAACAGGATCAGCAGCTCGCGGTGCACCAGCGAGGCACAATGGATCTGCAGCAAACCCGATGTATTTACAGCAGCAAAGGAGACGCCAGGGGGAGAAGCCTCGTAACAGGCGTGTGTTCAAAGGATACGTCACAAGGAATATTGTGTACAGAGATCGTTACAACAGCATGCAGGGTGTGAATACTGCCTAGCAGAGTGTCTCGCTGGGAGTGGCAGAGCAATTCTAACTCCTGCCTGCTGCCTTGTGCCAGCCTAGGGCTCTAAAAGTTCACGGAAAATAGTTAACACCAGTTTAACATTTCAGGCTTTTATTTTTTAAAAAAAGCCCCAAACTAGAAATTGGCAATTAAAGCTGCAAACTTCAAAATCACCTGGGTTTTCACCACAATGCACAGCACCAGCCTCAGCTTTCCCTGCCCGAGAGCCCCCTACAGAAGCTTTTTGCTTCAGAGAACTCTCAGTGGAGCCTTTTAATAGTAATAGAGAGGTAGCTGTGTTCCTCTGATCTTGCTGAAACAAAAGAAAGGACTATGCAGCACTTTAAAGACTAACAGGACGGTTTAATAGGTGATGAGCTTTCGTAGGCCAGACGCACTTCGTCCGATCAAATTCTGGAAGAGAATTGGCATGACCATATATACCAAAGGAATACAATGAAAAAAAAGTGAACACATTATAAAACTGACAAATCAGATTTAAAACAGAAAGGGGTGAGGGGGAAGGCAAATATCTATGAGATAATGATACTAGGGGTGATAATTGGGGAAGCTATCTTTGTAGTAAGATAATTAGCATCTTTGTTAAGGCCCATTCGTAAAGTGTCAAATTTAAGCATGAATGATAGTTCTGAGGTTTCCCTTTGTAATCTGGTGTTAAAGTCTCTTTGAAGTAAGATACACGTAGTAAGGTCATTAAGATTATGCTCAGGTTGGTTGAAATGAAAAGAAACTGAAGAGGTCTGATTTGTGGGCATTAATTCTTTGGCGAAGTGTCTGAGAAGTTTGTCCAATGTACATAGCAGAAGGACACTGTTGGCATATGGTGGCATAAATTATATTTCTGGATGAACAGGAATATGTGTTCTTGATCTTGTAACTGACATGGTAAGGTCCAGTGATGCTGTCACCAGAGTAAATATGTGGACAAAGTTAGCAACGGGGTTTGTTGCAAGGGAAGGTACCAGGGTTGGTATTAGTGTGGTATGTCCTGGGGTTGTTGGTAAGAATCATCCTGAGGTTAGGTGGTTGTGTATAGGAGACCATTCCATAGAGTGGGACAGAGCTGAGTGGGAAATGGTGCCCCCCCCAGATGTTTTTCAGTATGAATTTTTCTGGGTCATTTGGAATTGTGGTGAAAACCCAGGTGATTTTGAAGTTTGCAGCTTTAATTGCCAATTTCTAGTTTGGGGCTTTTTTTAAAAAATAAAAGCCTGAAATGTTAAACTGGTGTTAACTATTTTCCGTGAACTTTTAGAGCCCTAGGCTGGCACAAGGCAGCAGGCAGGAGTTAGAATTGCTCTGCCACTCCCAGCGAAACACTCTGCTAGGCAGTATTCACACCCTGCATGCTGTTGTAATAATCTCTCTACACAATATGCCTTGTGACGTATCCTTTGAAAACGCACAGCTTGCTGGTTAACACTATTGTGGTGAAATGTGTGTAACAACATTCAGTGCGGCATTCTGAACATACACTAAAATTATGACTGGGTGTATCTACCAGACATGTCTGAGGAGTAAGAAGAGCCTGTTTCTCAAAGACCAAGGACAAGCTGATGCTTCCGCCCAGGTGTCATTAAAGTTGATCGGCCATTAAGTGGCTGTTCTTTGGCAAGGAAGGGGCAAATCATGACTAGGTGTATCCATCAGACAAGTCTGAGGAGTAAGCAAAGCCTGTTTCTCAAAGACCAAGGACAAGCTGATGCTTCCGCCCAGGTGTCATTAAAGTTGATCGGCTATTAAGCGGCCATTCTTTGGCAAGGAAGGGGGCAGGAACAAATCAGTCTGCACCTCAAACAGAGGAGAAGAAACAGTCAGAACCTCTTTCACCACCAGACTCTTTGTCGTCTTCTACTCAGCTGCACAGAACTTTGAGAGGGGCTGATCTATAAAAGTGAGGGACAAACACCCCCAGGTATCTCCCTCCCCCACACGACTGATGAAGATTCAAGAAATGGCCATTGGATTGGGGGGGCATGGTCCTGACCCAAAAGACTTGGTGAGTGGTGTTGGAAGGATGTGGTCAACCTTTACATTGAATTCAGTGTTATTAGTTTGACTACTGGATACAACTCTTCCTTATATTTATTGCCCATGCTTACACTTTTTAAAAATCCTGTATACTTTGGTTCATAAACTTTTGTTGTTTAATCCGATCCAGTGTTTCTGTTGCCTGGATAGCGGTATTTAAAGTGACACATTTTCATGTATTATTCCCTTAAAACAGACCTAACATCTCAGGCCCAGCCAGGAGAGGGCTGGGCAGTAGAGAGCCTACAATTCTGGAGGAAAATCCAGGACCGGGTGAGTGTTGGGGTCACCCTGCAGTGTAACCAAGACTGGGAAAAGCTAGAGAGTGTCCCGGGTGTGGCTGGCAGGCTGCAGTTACAGACACACAGGGGCTACGTCTAGACTGGCATGATTTTCCGCAAATGCTTTTAATGGGAAACTTTTCCGTGTGTTGGGGTCACCCTGCAGAGTAACCAAGACTGGGAAAAGCTAGAGAATGTCCCAGGTGTGGCTGGCAGGCTGCAGTTACAGACACACAGGGGCTACGTCTCGACTGGCATGATTTTCCGCAAATGCTTTTAACGGGAAACTTTTCCGTTAAAAGCATTTGCGGAAAAGAGCGTCTAGATTGGCACAGATGCTTTTGCACAAAAAGGCCCCGATCGCCATTTTTGCGCTTGGGGCTTTTTTGCGCAAAACAAATCTGAGCTGTTTACACTGGCCTTTTTGCGCATCGCCTGAGTATAGAACGAGCATTCGTGGGCAAAACCCACAGCCTCAGATGAAATGACCTTGAGTGGAAACGGTGCTTTTTTCCACTCAAGATCATCTGATCTGAGGCGGTGGGTTTTGCCCACGAAAGCGCATGATTCCATATGGAGAGTTTTGTTCGGCTCTAAGGTGCCCCAGGACGACTCGTTTTTTAAAAGTTGTTTTTAAGGTTACAGACTAATCTGGCTCCCCCCACTGAGATGTCTTAACGTTACAGGGGTACAAACACAGCTCCTTGGTCCCACTGGTTATATCACGGCAGCTTCTTTCTGGCAGAGCCATTTGAAGTCAGTAAACTTGTTTTTTAAAAGTAGTTTTTAAGGTTACAGACTAATCTGGCTCCCCCCACTGAGATGTCTTAACGTTACAGGGGTACAAACACAGCTCCTTGGTCCCACTGGTTATATCACGGCAGCTTCTTTCTGGCAGAGCCATTTGAAGTCAGTATCACACGTATCTGACTGAATCCGGCTGCCTTTGGTCCGACCGCAGCTGTTCCCATCCACGGGGCCTGAGACGGGGAAGCTGCAGAATGAAAGAGCAAGTCCATGTCATTGGTAACAAGGAAAAGCCCGGGGTGGGTCTTGTCTCCCCCTTGCTCCTTGCCCTGTCTAAGGGAGACAGGCTAGGCCCACCCCCATCGCCTTGCCCCTTCTGCACCCACCAGCCCTCTCCCCCCATGGCTGCTGGCCCCTGCCTCCCACTCTTAAGCCCAGAGTTGTCAAGCAGCATGGCCCCTGATGCCCCTGTGACCAGCTGCCCTGGGGCACCTGAGCGTCAGATCATGGGGACAGTGGAACCCCAGCCACCCCTGGAGCACCCACGCATGAAGCCCCTCCCGAGGGTCCAGGGTGAGCAGCCTGAATGGCCCCCCAGGATCTGGCAGCAGGGACTGAGTCAGGCAGTTTGGGAAGGCAGCCCTTTCTTGCACCAGGTATGCAGGTATGCAACCCCTTCCTGCACCAGGCAACCCCTTCCTGCACCAGGCAACCCCTTCCTGCACCAGGCAACCCCTTCCTGCACCAGGCAACCCCTTCCTGCACCAGGCAACCCCTTCCTGCACCAGGCAACCCCTTCCTGCACCAGGCAACCCCTTCCTGCACCAGGCAACCCCTTCCTGCACCAGGCAACCCCTTCCTGCAGGTGTCCTGACTTTTTCATTAAAATGGGCAAATTGTCCCATATTTTATATTCCCCCCCTCCCTGCCCATGGATACTGGCAGATCCTGCTGCGGGCCAGATCCCTGCTCACCAGCTGCCCACCCTCCGGCGGTGAGTGTGGGGGTCAGGGCTGATGATGAGGGTGGGGAGTGGAGGGCAAATCTGCAGTGTGCAGGACTGGCTGCTCCTCCTGCTGCCTGCCGGCTCTGTCGGCCAGGCTCCCTCGTCCCATCTGTGGCTGGCGCTGGCTGGGAGCTGCAGTGGCTGGTGAGTTGAGACAAGCAGCAGCCAGTTGCATGTTCCCTCTGCTCCCACCCATCAACGCTTTACATGCTCCCACCCTTTCTGTCCTCTCTCTGCTTTGCCCCCCAGTCCCACTGCCCATGTATCCTGCCCCACTGGGGCGCATCCCCCTCCCAGTGCTCTGCAGGGAACCAGACCATGGTGAGAGCACTCGGCTCACCCACAGCCCATCCAGCAGGCTCCTTCCCTCCCCCTGCTTCTGGCTGGGCCAACGCCCCACGAAAGCTCAGACCCTCCCATGTGGGGAGCTGGCTAGGAGCTGAGCCCTGCCTGTGCCAAACCCCACACGGGGCGGCCCAGGAAAGTGTCTCCGGCCCCCGGCTGAGCTCTGGGGAAGTGATTTCGGGTCTGCTCATGCCCTAACCCTGCAGGCTCCACAGCCGCCCTCTGGCAGGGGCTTAGCACCTCCTCACCCCTCCCTACTCTGGGTCCCGCTGTGGGGCAGTGTGTGTGTGTGTGGGGGCTGCTCTGTCCCCTAGGGCCCCTCCCCTGCTGAGCCACCTCTTTGGCTGGGTTGGCTGAAGCCCCTGCAGGCAGGGGCCCTGGGGCTCACTGCAGCCTGAGGGCTTAACCCTCCTGCCCTACCCATGGGGGGTGTAGAGAGACACCATCACGTTCCTCCCCCGCACTTCCGGCTGTGGGAGCACACCCTCCTGCCCTACACATGGGGGGTGTAGAGAGACGCTATCACATTCCTCCCCCGCACTTCTGGCTGTGGGAGCACAAAGCCCAGCGGGAGGAGCAGAGCCCAGGCCAGGGCCATGACTTGACATTTGAGGGTCCAGGCACGACCTTGTATTGGTGTCTCCCTGATGGGCACCCTGGGGAGAGACAAGGGGCACTGGCCACCACGTCCCCCTGGCACTGGCAGGAGCAGTGGCCACGTTCTGTGCAGTGGTGACATGTCCCAGCCTCCAGCTGCCCACCTGGAGGAGCTGACATGACGGAGGCAGGCTGGTTCAGTGGTTAGGGCGCTGAGCTGTGTCAATTCCTTCTCTGTCCAGGCTCCTGTGACACTCAGGGCAAGTCACTGGAGAGGGACTCTCAACCCACCTCCCCTTGAAATCAGTCAGTGGCAGGCACCTGAACAGCTTGGTGAGTAGTCTTGGTGCCCCAGTTTCCCCCATCTGTAGCATGGGGCTAATAGCCCAGCCCTGCCTCACCAGGGTGTGAGAGGATCAATGCAGTGAAGGCCGTGAGGTGCTCAGATATGGGGGCAATAGGGCAGCTCCTGGCGCCTTGGCCACACCAGGAGGTGTTTCTGGGTGGTGACAATGGAAACCCCTTAGTGCAGACACAGCCCTGGTCACATGTCAGTGCTTCAGCACATGCTGCCCTGCTACCAGCACAGCTACGGTGGTAGAGCGGCTGCGGCACGATGGCTTGCTCTGGTGCAGCAAAAACGCCCTGAACCAAGGTGGCTGGTCTGGTCACACAGGTAGGTGCAGGCCTGGCCTTAGACAGACGCATGTTTAACAGCAGCATGTTGGACAGCGGAAGCTTTTCCCAAACATCTCTCAGGCAGCATCAGGCAGTGACAGGCAGCACTCACCACGCTGGGTCTAACTGGGAACCGTCCACCCAGATCCAGTTCCCCCCGGGGGGTGTCACTTTAAGCCCAATCCAGGCAGAGCTTGCACCTTGTATAACATCCTGTAAGGAGTCCTGTGAGGGGCAAGCAGAGGGGAACATAAGAACGGCCGTACTGGGTCAGACCAAAGGTCCATCTAGCCCAGTATCCTGTCTGCCAACAGTGGCCAGCACCAGGTGCCCCAGAGAGCACCAGGTGCCGCAGAGAGGGTGGACCAAAGACAATGATCAAGCGATTTGTCTCCTGCCATCTCTCTCCAGCCTCTGACAAACAGAGGTCAAGGACACCATTTTATCCCCTGGCTAATAGCCTTTTACGGACCTAACCTCTAGTTTCTCTTTAAACTGTATTATAGTCTGAGCCTTCACAGCGTCCTCTGGCAAGGAGTTCCACAGGTTGACTATGTGCTGTGTGAAGAAGAACTTTCTTTTATTAGTTTTAAACCTGCTCCCCATTAACTTCATTTGGTGTCCTCTAGTTCTTCTATTTAGGGAAGGGTGAATAGGTGGAACAGGCTGGAATTCCTGGTGGAGGCAGGGGAATGTGACTTTCTGTGCAGACCTGGTAACACCAGCCCCAGTCCTTGGTGTCACAGGGTGAACGGGCCCTTTAAGGGCGCCCTTGGCTCAGCCTCACCTGTGACAGTGCCCCTGGACGGAGTGGTTCAGGTGAGGGAAGCAGGTGACTCGGCGTCAGGCCTGATGGGGCTACCAGGGCAGCCCAAGGCCAGTCAAGACAGAGACGCTGGCTCTGTGGGTACTTTGGGGCTGGAGAACCCACAGAAAAATATTAGTGGCTGCTCCTGTGTTGTGTGTTACCAGCTCCGCCTGGCTCTGGAGCACGAGCAGCTGCGAGCTCTTCCCCGAACAGTCGTCCCGGCTCCAGTTCCAGTTTTTATTCTCTTTTGACAGCCAGTAGCACTTGTCCCCGCGCAGCAGCCAGTCCCTGGGGCAGAGTTTGCACCTGGCGCCCCCTGGAGGGAGAGATGGGAACAGAGGTGTCGTCAGTTCTGAACAGTCTGCAGCAGCTGCTTAAAAATGTTCAAGTTCCTTTTGGATCAGAGCAACCAGCCGTCCCGTTGTGGCTGGACAGCCCCTTTTCTAAGCCTGGTCCTGGTTGTACCGACTTTTTTGGCAAAATGGGCATGTGTCCCATTTCCTCTTTTCAACTTGATCAGTGGGTGGCTGCCAATGAGACCCATGCCCGCTCCTTTCAAAAAGTCGGGTGTAGAGGAACATGTGGGGAGGGGAGTCATGCCAGAGAGGCAGGTAAGGGCTTTGGCAGAGGGCAGGCAGGGTTTGACTGAACAGTGACACCAGTCCTGCCCTGAGAGAGGCTGCAGGACTCCAGCTAGTCCCACTTGGTTTCCTGTTTCCCCTTTGGGAGATCTGGGCACCTTATTACAATTGAAAATGCCATTTTTACCAGACCGAAATACCTTGGGTGCCATTGTTCCTGTCTGATGGAGGGAAGGGAACTCAAAATGGAAATACTAGGGGTGAGAGGGAGGGTTTCATTCTGTTTTGGAGAGGAAATAAAGTTCCGGATATTGCTGTCGTTTCCTCTACAGCGGTGTATAAAGCCTTCAGACTCAGATTACATCTATACTGCACTCTAAAATCGAAATAAGATATGCAATTTGCATAGTGGAAATTGCGTATCTTATTTCGATTTTATTTTGAAATGGGCTATTTCGAAATTTGGCATGTCTACATGGTGCCAAATTTCTAAATAAAGCACTATTTCGAGACATCCCTTATGAGGTTTACAGGGATACCAAAACAACGCATCTGTTATTTTGAAATAGTGGACGCATTCCTTGGATGCGAGGTAGCTATTTTGGGATACCTCCCAAAATGCTTTTCTCAGGGGTCAGCACACAGGGTACGTCTACAATGAAGTTATTTCAGAATAAGCTATTCCAGAATAGTTATTCCGAAATAGCTTATTTCAAAATGGTACTTTTACACTGCAGGGAAGCCTCAAAATGAGTCTGAGGCTGGCTTCCTTAATGTAGATGTGCTACCTCTATTTAGAGCCCCAGGAGGAATAACTAAGAATGGCTTTGGGTTGGGCTATATCGAAATAGCATCAGTGAAGCAGCTATATACACCTTATTTCAAAATAGCTATTTCAGGATAGGCATTATTCCTTGTGGAATGAGGTTTCTAGAAGTGGGAATAAGCCATGGGTTCGGTTCAATGGATTTAGTGGAATGGATGGTCGCGGTGCCAGAAGTACCCGGCTTGTCACCGGTGCAGATTCGGGGTGATAAGGAGCATGTTGGAGAGACTCTCTTTTTTGCAGCCTTTGGTGCAGGAGAGCTTGCTTGTCTCTTCTCAGGCCTAGGAGGCTCCATATGAGAGCCAGAATCCCCGGTGCCTGGAGGCTGAAGAGCCTTGTCAAAGAGGAGCATACGAAGCCACATCTTCCTGTCACGATGAGACTGGGCAGTAAGTTTGGAGCAGTAGAGGAATTTTTTAAGGATATGTGCCTCACCAAGATATCTGATACAGGAGGAGTGCCCGTCTGATGCAGGCATGGTTTCGTGACAGGTGTCGCATTTTTTAAAACGTGGTGACCCTGGCACAGTGAGGGGTCAGAGTAAGCATCTTGGTTTTCTTGTTCTCTTTCCTCGCCTCTCCTTTATTTTTTATTTTATTTTATTTTTTTGGTATGGCCGCAGTTCCATTTAATCTTCTTCATCTTTTCTTCTTTTTTTTTAATGACAAAAAAACTAGTACTAAGACAACTGTTAACTACTAAGTGTAAAAACTTTAATTCTAACTAAATAAGTGCATTTCCCCGAGACAGGGTGCAGAGGAGTGAGGCAAATTCCATCTGTAGTTGAGGGCTCGAATGAAGGAACTGAGAAGAGATAGGACAGTGCACATGAAGCAAAAAGTACGAACAGCACGAGGTGCCTGAAGCACATGTGTGGCCCGACCAGCTACTGCTATGAAAAGCTCTGATCTACAGCGCCAGGCGACCCAACACCTAGGGTATGTCTAGACTACATGTCTCTGCAGACAGAGGCACATAAATTAGACTACCTGACATAGGCAATGAAGCGGGAATTTAAATATCCCCGGCTTCGTTAAAATAAAAATGGCCACCGTGCTGTGCCGGCTCAGCTGATCATCAGCACAGCTACTGCTATGAAAAGCTCTGATCTACAGCGCCAGGCGACCCAACACCTAGGGTATGTCTAGACTACATGTCTCTGCAGACAGAGGCACATAAATTAGACTACCTGACATAGGCAATGAAGCGGGAATTTAAATATCCCCGGCTTCGTTAAAATAAAAATGGCCACCGTGCTGTGCCGGCTCAGCTGATCATCAGCACAGCGTGGCAGTAAACAAGGTTTACAGGAACGGTCGACAAAGGTGTTCCCTGTTGACCGATCCACATCTTGACTGACGCACTGTGCAGACAATCAGATGAGCCGGCACAGCACAGCGGCCATTTTTATTTTAATGAAGCGGGGGATATTTAAATCCTTGCTTCATTTACTATGTCGAGTAGTCTAATTTACATGCCTCTGTCAGCAGAGGCATGTAGTGTAGACATACCCCTACAGTGGAGCACCCACGAGGACATCACTCAAAGAATCATAGAGTCATAGAATACTAGGACTGGAAGGGACCTCGAGAGGTCATCAAGTCCAGTCCCCTGCCCTCATGGCAGGACCAAATACCGTTTAGACCATCCCTGATAGACATTTATCTAACCTACTCTTTAATATCTCCAGAGATGAGGATTCCACAACCTCTCTGGGCAATTTATTCCAGTGTTTGACTACCCTGACAGTTAGGAACTTTTTCCTAATGTCCAACCTAAACCTCTCTTGCTGCAGTTTAAGCCCATTGCTTCTTGTTCTATCCTCAGAGGCTAAGATGAACAAGTTTTCTCCCTCCCATATGACACCCTTTTAGATACCTGAAAACTGCTATCATGTCCCCCCTCAATCTTCACTTTTCTAAACTAAACAAAACCAATTCTTTCAGCCTTCCTTCATAGGTCATGTTCTCTAGACCTTTAATCATTCTTGTTGCTCTTTGGACCCTCTCCAGTTTCTCCACGTCTTTTTTGAAATGCGGTGTCCAGAACTGGACATGATACTCCAAAAGAGGCCAAATCAGCGCAGAGTAGAGTGGAAGAATGACTTCTCATGTCTTGCTCACAACACACCTGTTAATGCATCCCAGAATCATGTTTGCTTTTTTTGCACCAGCATCACACTGTTGACTCATATTTAGCTTGTGGTCCCCTAGATCCCTTTCTGCCGTACTCCTTCATAGACAGTCGCTTCCCATTCTGTATGTGTGAAACTGATTGCTCCTTCCTAAGCAGAGCACTTTACATTTGTCTTTATTAAACTTCATCCTGTTTACCTCAGACCATTTCTCCAGTTTGTCCAGATCATTTTGAATTATGACCCTATCCTCCAAAGCAGTCGCAACCCCTCCCAGCTTGGTATCATCTGCAAACACCCATATTTTGAATACTGCATGCAGATGTGGTTGACCCACCTCACAAAAGATATACAGGCAGTCCCCAGGTTACGTACAAGATAGGGACTGTAGGTTTGTTCTTAAGTTGAATTTGTATGTAAGTCGGAACTGGTACATATTAGGCATTATTCCTTGTGGAATGAGGTTTCTAGAAGTGGGAATAAGCCATGGGTTCGGTTCAATGGATTTAGTGGAATGGATGGTCGCGGTGCCAGAAGTACCCGGCTTGTCACCGGTGCAGATTCGGGGTGATAAGGAGCATGTTGGAGAGACTCTCTTTTTTGCAGCCTTTGGTGCAGGAGAGCTTGCTTGTCTCTTCTCAGGCCTAGGAGGCTCCATATGAGAGCCAGAATCCCCGGTGCCTGGAGGCTGAAGAGCCTTGTCAAAGAGGAGCATACGAAGCCACATCTTCCTGTCACGATGAGACCGGGCAGTAAGTTTGGAGCAGTAAGGAATTTTTTAAGGATATGTGCCTCACCAAGATATCTGATACAGGAGGAGTGCCCATCTGATGCAGGCATGGTCGTGACAGGTGTCGCATTTTTTAAAACGTGGTGACCCTGGCACAGTGAGGGGTCAGAGTAAGCATCTTGGTTTTCTTGTTCTCTTTCCTCGCCTCTCCTTTATTTTTTATTTTATTTTATTTTTTTGGTATGGCCGCAGTTCCATTTAATCTTCTTCATCTTTTCTTCTTTTTTTTTAATGACAAAAAAACTAGTACTAAGACAACTGTTAACTACTAAGTGTAAAAACTTTAATTCTAACTCTAAATAAGTGCGTCTCCCTGAGACAGGGCTCAGAGGAGTGAACCAAATTCCATCTGCAGTTGAGGCCTGGAATGAAGGAACTGAGAAGAGATAGGA